ATGGCTATAACTTCACAAATGCTGAGAAACTGCCATACATTTTTCAAATTTCTCAATATTTTTCAATATTTCAAAAACAACCACCGATATTCTCGACCTGACAAAAGATAATTATAGTTCCCCAAAATAGTAAATTTTGGCCAGCATTCATAAAACAGTAACGAACATCATTACTTCCTTCCTGTCAAAATATGGGGAATGTAATGTTATAAGAATACACTTTTCTCGTTTGGTGTTTCACCCAAAAAGTTTATACAGTGCGGTCCTAGAGTAACGGATACTTTCTTTTTCTAAGTAATTGGGAATGTAAATGAAAAATCCTGAAACAAGTTGATTTTTATATTGAAAATACACTTTTTCAATAAAATCTATTCTATTCCAGTTCATTCCATAACATTACATCACGTCACGTCACGTCACGTCACGTCACGTCACGTCACGTCACGTCACGTCACGTCACGTCACAATCACAATCATATCACATTCCAATCTATGACATTACATCACATAACATCACGTCACATCAAATCACATCACATCACATCACATCGCATCGCATCACCAACTACTTCTCTTGTAGGTGTCTGTGGGTTTTCCTCAAATAATAATGGAACATCCGATTTCTTGTCGTCGTTCAGTTTTGATCTCCCAGGTTTGGGAAAATCTTCGACAGTTCTAAATTCACGAAACTTTTGTTCTGTTCTTCTCACCGTAGACTCGGAAACGTGATGGTCAGGATACTTCTCATTATCTGCTTACCTCAGATTGTATTCTTGTCTTATCACCCACGCCAAGCAATATCAATATCTTAATTATTTGGGTCTCAGATTGACGCATTTCGCAATACCTCATTCACAAAAAAGTTTAGAAATTCCTTAAGAAAGTATTTAAAACAAAATACAATCCACATAATTGGAGAGGTCTAGCGAACTAACTGAATTTCAAATACGTTTCATGAAATTGTAAAAACTTTCAACGATTATTTATTTTGCGTATTCGATGTTCATGTCCCCATAACAACGACGAGAATAAGCAAACCTAAAGCTCCCAGGTTGACTGACGTTTTGAAGATCATGAATAAGACAAAAGATTCATCTTTTGCGAACTATAAACGGTACAAAATGAGTGATAATTGGAACACCTATAAGGATTTGAGAAACATGGTGACAGCTGATATACGGAAAGAAAAAAAAGCCTACTTGAATTTCATTAAAAATCAACATTACACTTATTTGGCATAGTCAATCGTTAAGACAGGAAAGATATTCCTGAACATCTTACTAACCCAAATGAAATAAACAATCATTTCATTACTTCGGTCACTCAAATTGCGACTGAACCTCCGGATATTATTCTTAACTTCAACAAAACAATGCAATTTCAAGAAAATTTTACTTTTGAATTCTATCAAATCAATATGGATGATATTAACATGATAGTCAACTCCCCCAAATCGAATGCTACCGAATCAGATATCTATTAGAATTATCACAATATGTATCCCTCACTCAACTCCAATTCTAACATATTTAGTCAAGAAATGCCTTGAAACTAGTATTTTCCCGGAGATATGGAAACAATCTATTATTTCTCCTATATACAAAATTTCTAAACCTTTGACGCCAAATGATTTGAGGCCCATATAGTACTGGCTATATCAAAAATTGTAGAAAAGGCAGTCTAAAGTCAGATATACTCTTATGTCCCTGATAATAACATCCTGCCTGAACACCAATTTGGTTTTCGGAAAAATCACAATACATCTGTCGAAAATGCTCAAATTGCTCTGTCGAAAATGACCGACGATATGTTTTCAGCCACCGATAATGAAAAGATCATTCTTTTCTAGTCTCTCGATTACAGTAAGGCTTTCGACACCATGAATCACGATCTGATGTGCGCTAAACTTTGTTTTTTTTTGGTTTCAGTATGAAAGGGTAGCCAGTCTGATAATATGAGTGTATGTCATGCATCCCCGCAAGGTTCAATTCTCACCCCGCTACTTTTTATTATCTACACATCGACTTCTCAAAGGTTCTCAAGTTATTCAACATGCATACATGTGCAGACGACACTAACTTGTACTACTCCGATAAAGTAAATCAGCTTATTGATCACGCAACTTCGCTCAATAATGATATAAAAAATCTTGTTCAGCAACATTGTCTAAACTCAATCATAGTAAATCATCTTTAACGATTTTTGGAAAAGCCAATGATCGTGGAAGAGCCATAGATAATATCGATTTGTATATTGATGGACATTCTGTGGAATTGACTGACAAAATGAAATGTTTAGGACTTCATATAGACTACAACCTCAGATTCATTCATCAAGTCAATACTCTCATTCAAAGGTCGTACGGTTCTCTGAAATATCTGTATTGAAACATACACTATCTTAGTAGGTCTCTCAAAATTACCCTTTCAGACGTACTGATTCTATCTATGTTTGATTATTGCGATGTCGTCTATGGACCTTGTATCGATTCCATAACTTCTGCAAGGAATCAGAAAGTATAGACGCCTGCATTACACTAATATTTAACTTGAATTACAAAGATCATGCCACACCTTCAATCAATCGATTGAATTGGTAAAAATGCAAAACAGAAGAGACATGCATTTCGCCTGTTTCATTCATAAACTGATAAAATAAAACAACAACCCACCCTTGGTAAATACACTCCTTCCCAGATATCAGATACACTCAAGAATCCTTAGATTCAACAATAATTTTGACATTCCGAATCATAACATCATATTCTATGAACGATCCTTCACGTATCATGCTGTAACAGTGTGAATTCAGTGAATCTTTAAAAAATTAATCACTACCGCTATTCAAAAGTAAACTCAAAACTGAATTGCTCAGCCAACAGTGATCCAAACATAAACATTTGTATTTCATTTTACTATTGTTCTGAAATTGCCATTTATTTTTTGTAATATTTTTTTTTCCAAACGTGGTTGAGTGGAAGAATAGCGCTTTGCTAAACTCCGCCACGTAAAATAATGACCATTTATTATTATTATTTTCTTTTTGTGACATTCAAATGTCACAAAAACGTCTGAGGCTACTAATCGGACGACAAAAAAACCAATAGATTAGTCAATCGTAAATAGTTTTCAACTCAACTTCTCAGTGAAATACTGTAAATTATGAAATTCAAAATTTCCTATGTTTTCAACCACTTTTATTTGTAACTGACGTTACTACAGTTTCGTCCTATGAAGACATTGGCAATTATGAAAGACTTGAATGAAGTCACAACTGCCTGCAACTCTCAACTTGATTCAAAATCGAAAAAATCTCTCATTTGGTTCAGTACTTTCGAATAAAATCACAAAATTTTGGTGGCGCTGAGAATGAACTCAATTTTCAACATAATTGAAAGTTGACAATATCTCATTAGATTCAAAATTAATATCGTTTCAGAAACAGATCTAAGGGTTGGACTGAAAAGTTCGTAGGCTAAGAAATATTTTTTTTATAAAATGAGATTTTTGTTCAATATAGTTGGCTTCGAGGACGATACCATTTCAGTTCAAAATAGAACTCAATTTCGACAATTACCACTCCATCGGTACTAAATTTCTCTCCAGCAAGCATTTTTTTGTGGTCTGAGAACAGAAAAAATCACTAGGGGTCAGTTCTGGAGAATACTGTGCATGCGAAAGCAATTCGAAGCCTAATTCATACATTTTTGCCACCGTATCATACCATAACCATGCCAGCCGACTGTTGCGTCTTTACACGCCTTGGGGTCGGTTCACTACGATTCTTCACTACGGTGACGATCGTTTTAATTCTGGTATGAAATGATGGAGCCATGTTTCATCCATCGTCACATATCGATGCATATCGATTTATCAGCACGATCTAACCGCATACCTGTGGTTTCGATCAGAGGAACTAGTGTTTGTTCATAGAAAACAACTAAACTATTCACATACGAGTAGATGGCTCCCTGCGTGATATATAAATACGCAAAAGATGTGACTAGTGAATTTGATGTAAATTAAAGAGATGGGATTTGGAAACATCACACTCCAAAAAGCGAACAATGTTTCCGGCTTATTTATTCCTTTGTTATGCGAATGTGTTGTTCTGAGCGAGTGTTTTTCACTTTTCACTTGGCTACAACACGATAAAGGCCAATGCCAAAACATTAACTAGATTTCATAACCACGAATATCGAAAAAAAATAGAGCTCATAAACTATAGAAAATATTAAAAATTCCTCAGGACCTAATTTGTTCGTCGTCATTTAATTTGCAGATTTCTCTATAAACTTCGAATACTTAACACGATTCTAAAGAGAACTGGAAAATGTCGTATCTTGGAAAATTTAGTACCTTGGGAACTGTCAATTTCAAAAATATATTATCAGAAATTTTTCGACTAAAGATTTCACTAATTCGAGATGTTTGATTGATTTACAGGAAATAGGGAGTATTTTATTTCAGATATTCACCGACAAGGTCAAAAAGAGTCACATTCCATTGTCAAACTTTAAACATCCATGAAAAATGTTTTCATAGATGTGAGGATGTGGAGGTTTCATAGATATTTTAAGAAAATGATATAGTGAGGGAGATAGCAACACGTCTGTGGTAGTTATTTCTGATGAAATTTCCAGCAGAATTCAACCTTTTGATAGTTTTACTATGGAACTGACTCAAAATGGAACGTTTTCATGTCATTCAGAAAACTAAAAAACTTGTTAATGTATTAAAAGTGAAACAATATAAATACGTCAATGATTAAAAAAAATTCAACTCAACAATTTCCAAGTGCATTCTAGACACAAAATATCCAAAACTTTGAAAGATAAAATACTGCTATATGCTAACAGGTATGAGCGTTGTAGATATTGTATAAAAATGTGTGTCTCTGGTGTCTTTAATATTATTATGTGTCATTGATCGAATTAAAATTTTCATTTCATTATGTCTTCCGCTTCCAAAAAGTTGTTTCAGAATGTATTTTACTTTTGATATCATATATGTTATCGTTTTAGGCCGGTGTAATCAAGACCACATGACCAAAAATCGTGCGATTGTCAAATATTACACAAACAACAACATGGTGGGATACAACTCCAACTGATACAACGACACAGACTACTGAAACGACAGGAATAACATCAGAAACCACGACAACAATACCATGGTGGTATTCATCTACAAAAACAACAACTTGGTGGAATGAAACCACTAATTTGCCAGAAACAACAACTTTCCCTTCGGTATCTCCATCCGACCGCACTGACTCTCCTAGTCAGAACAAAGTGAATATTAACGTGGAATTTGACACGTTTTACATTCAGAACAATAACAATGTCAATTTAGTTATCAACTAACACGTATTTTAGTATCAGTAATCATATTCTAATTATGTATTAATGTACGTTTCATTTCGCTCGCGAAATATAACATGGAACTTCATGTGATAGTTTAATGTGAAACATGTTTTTATTGGATGCTGAAATAGTTTTCATATTCCACTACCAAAAGAAGCATTTCGAACACATCACAAAATCTTCGAACTAAAATAAAACATCTTTAATATAATTGAAGGTGGAAAAGAAGCATTTCGAACACATCACAAAATCTTCGAACTAAAATAAAACATCTTTAATATAATTGAAGGTGGAACATAGTATACATCCAAAACAAGCACTGTTACCAAACACCAGACATGCAACACTCTTCTCGACGCGCGTTGCACCAACAAAGTTGGCGTCTTCAGAAGATGAAGTAGACTTATAACTTGAAGACAGGAGAAATATACACAAGAATCAACTCTCAACTACTTGATCTTCTGACCAAGTATTGAGTAATTCAGGCTGAGTCTTGTAAGATTGGATTTACTATAAGTACAATTCCATAATAGAAGGCACTAAATTCTTAGAAAAAATATTCGCATTGATTGTCGATTTTATGATTCTATAATTTTGTCGGTAGCCAGGCGGTTCGACGTGGGTGCTTTGTTCACTCACTCGAATTGACTGCCGTGTTGGTCGGTGGTTCTAGCCCTAGTCTAAACGATCGATTTTCCCTTGCTATTATCTAACCCGTGTTAGGAATCACAGGTTGAAAGGTAAGACCACGTTGTTCCTTCGCTCGCACAAGTTTCGACTTTTGAGGGATGTCGTTCGTAGGGGTGCGACAGCTGATTAACGGAAAACAGATTTCAAACAGATTTACACAGATCATCATTTTTCCTCATCTGTTTAGTATAACTTCCGTGCGCCACTGCGAATTGAGAATTCAGTGCCTACTATTATGGAATTATAGTATATATTGATAAGTAATACTGTGCCGATGATTTTTGATCAAACTCTTTGAGAATTTCTGGCAGTCTAATACGACAACATCATACATGGCGTGTTTATTAGTGAGTGGGGAATTTGAAAATATCTAATATTGAACTATGTAAGATCCAGATGATTTTGCCGACTTTTGATGGAAACTTCTATTGATCCGCTACAACAGTAGCCCCATCCCCTTTCCATTCATATCTCCAATGCATATCTTAGCCGGCATCAAGATGATGTAAAGAAAATTTCGACTTCAGATGTAAGTGAATTTCATGGCTTAGAAAACATATCAATCAGTTTTCTGTTTGTTTGAAAATGGTTGACAATGTTTCATGGTGAATTTTACTAGTTCGTACTTCGATTGTCTAAAATGATTTGAAATCTTTCACGACGTTTCGATTGTTAGTATCCACAATCGTCTTCAGGTGATGACTGGACTTTCCATCCGAGAGATGATTGTTTATGGGCCATTCAAACGCTTACACTAAATCCCCTCTTTCCTCACTACGCTTCACCGGTTTATCGGCAGTTGACCGGCTTTCCGATTGACTCCGTATGTTGTGTATATGTTACGGTAAAAGTAGATATTCCGGCAAATATACACATTTTCAGGTAAATGTGCACATTTGCTTCCTCGTTTGGGTAATGTGCATTCAACTAGCATTTACAATTTCAAATAAGGTAAATGTACATTGAATTAACAATAACCATGTCGTTTTGGAAAATGTGAGCATACAAAATACGAAATCGCAAGTACTAGTAATGTGACCAAGTGGTCAGAAGGTTTAAAATATATTCAACTGATGAAAAATAGAGCTTTTCATGAGAGTATAAAGCTTTATTCGGAACAAGAATAAAATTGGGTTTGAAAACATCGAATTTACCTATGGAATATATTGAACAGATGGAAACAAAAGGAGAGTTAAAGCAATTACTAGAAGGAGTACATACAGCCAATTAACCACAAAGCAAAGTCGCAGAAAACGATGAATTTTCCATCGAAACCTTAGATATAATTCTGGATAATGGTTCATTATGCAACCAAATTGAAGATAAGGTTGAAAGTTTCGAGTTAAAATGTGAGAAAATTTTAATTGATAATGCTCGAAAGAAAGCAAGGAAAAATTCAGAAAATCAAGGTATCAAAATGTGTAATCTTTCGAATGAAAAATGTCCTGCTGCTGTGATTGGTGACAATGTTTCCATTCAAAGTTTCCATTCCATACGTTGATCGTGGTAAAACGGACCCAAAAAATTTGATTTGCGTTGTTTTGTCTAGATATGAAAAAAAAATTATATGAATTAGGAACTAAACAGGGAGTTTTGAAACAATCTTATTCTAGACATGAATTCGCCATTTGCGAACAAAAGTTTATATCATACGAAGATGTACCTCAAGATGTTGAGGAATCGGTAAGAGAAATTATAGGAATGCAATCCCTTACTGGTGGATGAGGTTTTAAAAGATGCTTCTGTAAAGAAACATGTTCCTCAAAAACAAAATGCGGGCAGGTAGGCCGTGGTCGAATGGAACTTTTAGTATCAAATGTTTCGTCTACTACTGCGGCAGACATCTTCAGTAGTATGAGTTGACTACGAGGACAAAGGACTCGAAGTCCCAGCAACGACTGACTCATTACTTTACACATGTCATTTACATAGGTCTTCATTTCCCACTATATTTATATTATACACAACACAACTTGGTCATTGAAGCAACCACGGAGACTATATTGGAAATGAACTTCACTCAACCTTGAACCTACGATCCACTCATTATAAAGTGAACGTCTCCGATACAGACCTGTATAACAGGTAGATGCAAAGATCTTTCGTCTTCTGAAAAATGGATAAAACATGCACTCAACCAAAGCTCAGATATTATTTTAATTGACAATTTATTGATATATTTTAGATAAACGGATGAAAAAACACGTTTTGCGGTTTTGTGAACTCTCCAATAGCCAATTTCATCACTAATATGCATCACAAATTCAAAAAATGGGCCTCACAAACAAGGTCAATAATCTCAGTGTCACTATCTTCATTCTGGTTTGAAGGCCGTCATAGTTTGGAACTGCATCCTAACGTTTCGCCAGCACGAGTGGCTGGCTTCCTCAGAGGTTTATTAATTTTGATGAACACCGATCATCTGTGAATTATGGTGAACTGGATTTTCGAATGAAAGCTATTCAGATGATTTAGGAAGTTCTGAACTTCTTTTCCATGACTCCAAACGCGTCATCTACATATGTCAACCAGTGCATCGGTCGTTTTTCTGAGCTTTGAATGGCTCTTTCTTCAAATTTTTCCACGTTGAAATTTGCCACTTCTAGACTAAGTGGACTGCCCATGACGACTTAATCAACTTGTTCATAAAAGGTTTTATTGCATTGAAATTAAATTGTCGTTAGTAAATGTCGAAATGAATTGATATCTTGTCAAAAGATCTCCTCTATGTAGCTGAGAGAATCTTCGAGTGGTATATTTGTGAATAAGGATACAATATCGAAGCTAATTAGAATGTCTTTTTGCTCCAAGGTGAGGCCTTTCAAATGTTCGATGAAGCAAAGGAATCTCGGACGTACGTCTTAGTCTTCCCAACATGTTTCTGCAGCATACCTGACGAATGTTTACCGAGGGTGTGGGTTGGTAATCCTATGGCCTTTGGTTATCGGTCTCAGTGGTACATACTCTTAGAGGATTTTTGGTAATTTAAAGAACCTCGGTGGTAATGCTTCTAATCCGCAAAATTTTTCCTTCACCTCTGGTGATAATGAAGATTCTTTCATAAGTTGATTGGTCTTTCTTACGATTTTCACTGTTAGGTCTTTTTTTAATCTTCTGTACGTTGCTTGACTGACAAGGTTATGGATGTTGCTATTGTAGTCCAAAGTGTTTAATACCGCTGTTGCGTTCCTTCGTCAGCAGGCAGAATTGTGATATTTTTGGCACCATTGGTGGCCTTCTCACCCCTTGAAATGCTGCATTTCTGAGATTTGGATTTTTTCAGAATTCTTGCAGATTCGCTTCATAATTCTTCTTCAATATCAGCAGGTAGTTTTTCAATTCCGGCTTCTATGTTCGCGATGATTTCTTCTGTGGCTATTGTCGATGATGTTACGTTGAAATTCTCCCTTTTAGCTAGTAAACTTGTTTCGTTACTGGTAAGTGGTCATTGAAATCATTGAATAAGAACCAGCTGGTTGATCAGAGCCAAAAAGAAGCCAAGTCAACCAAATCGCGCTTGAAATACTCGCGAAGCCCTGTTGACAGTCAAGAAGAGTACTTCGACCATGCCACTGAAGATGACTTTCGCAGTTGCAGTCGAAACGTTTGGAGATTATAACCAAAGACCACGGAAAAACCCATAAGTCATCCGAAACATATAGTATATAATAATTGGAGCGATGGAAAGGATTATGAAAAAAATGGTGGAGTCTAATGGTGCGTAGAAGTACTTCAAAATCAATCTTGGATAAAAGATGAGGACATTTCAAATTACCATTTATGATTTTGTAGCGCAAGAGCAAATCTCTGACTTTTCTTTTTAAATATAAAGAAAATTGATCAGTAAGTTCTTTGGACTGTTGGAGATCGAGAAATATATAAAGTTTGAAATCGACGTAATTCAAAATGGATGTCTCAATAAGTGTTTCAACAAAAGAACAGTATTCAAAGTGGGGTCTAACTAAGACACGATGTAAGGTTCTTAAAGAGGTTACATTTGTGAAATCAGATTTTTTTCTATGAACCCAAATAGTTTCAATCCTTTATCCACTATAGATCCAATATGTTAATTTTAATTTCAAAAACTACACCTCATGATTTGATCTTCACAAACTTCATTCGAAAAATATATCACAACATATTTCGCTAGCACAGTAGCTTTCTCAAGTGATTTGAATACTTCAAGTTGTTCTTACATTAATATTTATATACCACAGTTAACAGTAATTGAGACTACCTCCAAAAAAATTACCTAAACATCTACCTAAGATACCTGTTCAATTATGATCACCTGAAGCATATTACCTCACATCTACATCAATAATAATTCTTACTCGGTTTTTGAGGAAACAAGTTCAATAATGGTGATCTATTCAAATCTAGTTGCTCATTCATTAGAATGTTTGAGTTTTTAAGTTTCTTAATTTCCATTGCTTCCAAATGATTCAGTTTCAAACCTTTATTTTCTATGTGCAAAGATATGATTTTCTTCTAGAAGATGATCTGAATATGATGAATTTGTTTTCTTATTTAGATAGCTCGCGAGATGTTCCTTAGGGCACGTTCCACACTTTAATTTATCCAGGGTCCTGCAACAGTGGCGAAGTGTTCTATATCTCAATTTAGGAAACAGATAGGAATCTAAATTTCTATAATATTACCTCATTGCACGAGCCCGACAAAATCAAAATATTGGCGGTCACACAGGGTGTTCAATTTTTTCTGGGCAGATCCCAACTGTGTTTTTTTAAATGGCAACCTATATTTTTTATCGCTTTTTCGGTTTCTAAAAATGGTCGTTCTTTCTATTTCTAAGCCATAAACTCGACTTTTTTCAAAGCGAAATCCATTTGACGACTGAAGAATGTACGAAAGATATCTTGTTTCAATTTTGCTCATGATAGCGTGTCCTATAGTTTTTCTTATTTTTTTTAATGACAACTCCATATTGTATCGCAATATCAATGATTTTTTTTACTGTGAAATCCATATGTGACGACTGTGATCGAGATATATGTTATGTTTATAACACATTTATTCCCTAAAAAGAACACCGTGCAATTTCTTCATTTGATGCATAGTTTTTGTCCAAGCCTTTTGCGTAGACTTTCTTGGCAAGTATTTTTTTTATCAATTCGGCTTTAAACCCATTGTTAACCGCAATTTGCTTGATGATATTAAGTTATTTATTGGAATTATCTATTGAAATAGAAACAATGACTAATATGTGAATCATGCTATTACTATGGATCTTCATCAAGTAACGGTCGATTCAATCAGAAAATGTAAATTTTAATTCAATGTGGGATCAAGGATGACTCCCAGGTCTTTGATGTTAGACTAACTTGTTGATCTGATAGTCGAAAATGATTGATTTATTACATCGATATAATCTCATCAGGTGGGATTTATTGACATCCTGTTTAAGTGACATAATTTTGCAATATGGTCATGATCAGTTCGAAGATTAGGAACATCGCTGCTTGTGAATCAATTGCACATGCAATTTTGTAAAATACTTTGAGATCATATGCGTGTAAGACGGTCGTTCCATTCAAGATGCCTGCCATTATGTCATCGATCACTAGATGTGAGATCAAAATAACATTCCTTGTAGTACGAGTGTTAACTTGAAAAATGTTGTGGAGTCACACATGTTCGATAAGGCAGTTTGTAGGGTGCTTTCTGCTGCAGTAGTCGAAGCTGAAGGAACAGCTGCCGAACTGGTCTGAAGACCAATGACCATTTGGAAAGTTGCCATCGCCGCGTTGAGATAGCTTTCTGCAATGCATCCATGTCTGATGATGAGGTCACCATTGATGATTCCACAGACCTAAGAGGAAGGTGAACAGAACCAATAATGATATGTGTGTGGTTTCCAATTGCAACGAAAGATGCTATATGATGTTATTCGACTGCATCTTGTGGCTAAAAATTGTTTTCTTTACTGCTATGAGTACTCCACCTCATAGCGGTCTTGTAAAAGCAGTCTTTTCTGTAAATGTTGTAATTAACGAGATTCAGTTCGGCATTCGTTATGTCTTGAGTAACTCATGTTTCTGTTATGATCACGACATCGAATAATGAAATGTCCCAATCACATTATAGAGAGCGGAGTTTCGTAAGAAGGTCTCTAACTTCTTTATATTATATGTTCGAAAGTTCAGGTAGTGAAAATGTTTCATGTTTTAGTTTTTTGATTTCATGATTCTAGGAATAACGTTGATGTACTTCAATTTGACATCATTTTCACCATGTTCAATACGGTTTTAGTTCAATTTATAGTGATTTAAACTGTGTTATTTGCATGACTGTTTTATCACTGTTCATGAAGATGTTCTTCACTTACTGCAACTGCAGCTTTTCTTTGAATAATTTTGTAATGAAGAGATTTTCTTCAGCAGCAAAAGAGTTTTTTTTAATCCCCATGCATTCATCGCAACACGTTGTTGTTTCATTTGAAAAGCAAGCACTTCAGTGGAACTCATGATGAAGAATGATTTCATATTGTGAAATCTTGCTTCACAAAAGACGAAATCATCATCGGCTCCAATAATAATTTTTTTCTAGAATGTATGTGAGTGCCAATTTTATGATAAGCCATAAACTATGAACATTTATTTCACTTCCATCGATTGAACCCAGAGATAGTAGAAGAAATTCAGTTTACTCAATATATCGTATTGATAAGCAACTGTATAAATAAACTTGAGCCATCTTAAGTTGATAAGTAGCGTAAGATAGGTTTCGAAATGATCAAGTTCGTTATTTTAATTGCAGTGGTTTCAGTGAGTAGAACATAGATTTTTGTTTGAGTTGAAATCCTTAAATTTGAGAAAATTATTTTGTGATCCATTTTGAAAAATAAACTTCATATGAACATATGTTCTGAAACTATTCTGAACGGTGGAGTGCTGAAATTGTGAGAAAAAATATGTTTTCTCCGATTGGCAGTGAACATCAATTTTGGTGACATTCATCGACCATAGAAGTCACTTTGTTGATGTTTGAGCATCAAAATGATTTGTCCGATGCCGAATGATTTGTTTAATGCCTGGGCAACAATTGCGAGATTTTCACTAAACAGTTTTAAAAAAACGCAACACGTGTTTTGCTATACAATGCCTTTCAAAAAATAACTTTTTCCTCCTTTTTAGAAATAGTACTCTGCAGTAGCATCCGACCCAAAAAATACTCCAATAAATTAATAGACAATAAAGTTACTTGGAGTATATTTTCAAAGAAAATATAACTGAAGCAAATACTTATAAAAAGAGAGACAAAATTTGGAATTTTATTATAATTCCAAGTCTTACATTGATAATTGTATCAAAACATAGAACATGACAGAAATATATGTATATGGAATTCTTTAATATTAATTATTGTTGTGGATATTTAAATATTCAAGCCGCGGAGGTAAATTTGTTACTTCTCTGCCTAGTTGAACAAATTTTTCTCAAAATTTCTCACTTTCGTTTATTTTAATGAAACGTAGTGAGGAGGATTCTGTGTTCGAACGAAATAATGATTTTCTATATGTACCAGTGGCGTTCGTGTGGTATTCGCATACTTCGTGAACAAACATATGTTTGACATCATCATTTTCTAAACAAAGCAGATTTATCCAAGAGAAAGTTTTTCCAATTATGAATTTTTGATTAGAAGTTATCTAAATCACGTTCCTGAAAAACGGATTACTGAATCCAAGATTGCAGGTAGATTTTCTTCAGCTCAAAAAACTGTGGAAGCTTTCAATTGCATTCCTGGAAAAATGATTTACCTTTACGGGTGAATAAAATGTTAGTAACGGTGAAATTATTATTTAAAGAGAAGAGTCATATGCGAAACATTGAAAAGAAATAGGTGAGATAATAAAACTTTTCCCGAATAACCGTGTGTTTAATCTGGGATCATTTCTAACTGAATTTAAAATTACTACCTCAATTTCTGTTGTTCTTACAGTATGTCATACTCCTTTTGAAAAATGGTTCAGTTCAAAACTACCAGTTTTGTCACACGTTAAAAAGTAAGACCTCGTTAATCCTTAGCTCGCACAAGTTTCAACCTCTGAGGGTTGCCGTTCATAGGGGTGCGACAGCTGGTTAACGGAAAAACAGATTTTAAACAGAAACAGATTGTGGGATTTTCACCGAATAGTTTACAAAATCGCAACACGTATTTCACTATGAGATAGCTTCTTCAGGCATGATCACACTAACTGAATTCCACTATTTCTCGAGTATGAAATCAGTCGATTTTCATAATTTTTTCCTTACGTTTCGCTGGTGAATCCGGCTAGTTTCTTCAAAGGTTCGTATATCCTGAGTTATCTCCTATGACTGGAAATTACGTCTCCGTGAAGCATATTTATGTTGAATCAGGTAGTTTGGTGTGTTAATACCTATACTTGGATTATGTAAATTATTAATAACATTCATCGACTCTTTTTTAAGAAAATACAACAAACTCTCAGGTCAGCTAAAGACAAGAGAGACAAATTATCAGCAGTAGAGGTATGTATATCTCATACCATGCACTTGTGGGAAGGTATACATCGGAACCAACAAAAAATCCATGGGAACAAGGCTAAAAGAACATGAAAGAAACTGATGACTAGGCCAAACGGACAAGTCGGCTGTGGAGGAGCAAGCACTCAGTGAAGGAAACCGCAGGATTCTGTCTGAAAACACGAAACTCATTGCCCCAACCAGGGATACCATAGGAAACTGGTAGGGGAAACAATAGTGATCCACAAATACGCAAATAATTTCAACAGAAAAGAAGAAGCTGTGAACCTTAACCAAATATGGAATCCCATTTTAAAAAGTTTAAGAATAGAAATTAGCTTGGAGGCAGGTACAAAAAAGATCGGCGAATGTTATCGACAATTTACCTGATCCAGGTACAGGTATCACCACATCCAACTACCTGGGTCAATACAAACACGCTTTACGCAGCCGTAATATCCAGTCATCAAAGATTGCTCAGATGTTTCCAGATGTTCTCAAACTTTCAACCCTTATATTCTCAAAAACATAACCTTTGTAAAAAGTAGGAACTTTTTTTGGTTGTGGGTTCTTCACCATGTAACTTTCCTGATTTGTAACACAATTATTTGGGGTTTCCAGAATGTTTTCGAACGTTCCTCACTATTTCAGAATATTTCAGGATGTTCCTGAATGTTCTGGAATGTTCCAGATCAGACTCAAATTTTCCATCACATTCCAGGATATTTCTGACATCATATCTTTGAAAGCACGCCCTTCTGGTGAAAACGGTAACCTCTCCATGGATGGTGGAACACCATTCAACTCTCTCCATCGTGTCACAGTGATCTGAGTTGTTCCGGGGTATTCCCGAACGATCCAGACTATTCTGGAATAATCCTAAATATCCCAGAATGTCAAAGAATGTCAATTTTTATGGCCGGTGGTAACTGTGTGCAAGCTGTTTTCCAGGTTTTTTGGTCGCGGTCTGTAGGTTTTTATGCCTGACGTTTCGACTACTATTGCGGTATATCATCAATGGTGATGTGGTAAGGTCGCAGTGCCGGAGTTGGTGCTTGGCATTAAAACTGTAGACCACGGCCAAAAAAACCGGAAAAAAACTTTCACACATTCTAGAATATCTTGAATACTTGGACTGTTCTAGAACTTTCTATATATTCAAATGCACACCCTTTAGGTAAAAATAGAAACTTTTTTAATGTTAAAGCGGATGTGACACAAAAGCAGAAAAAATATAGGCGAATATAATTGCTACTCGTGTGAGGCCGAACCGGGTTACTCATAAGACACAGGATCAATTTTTTCTTAAAATAACAAACAAAAACACCACAAGAAATACAATCCAATATAGTGTGAAAATTTAATTGTGGAAGCCGTCACAAATGCTATGTTGGTCAAACCGGACGGTATCTTGAAACACGAGTTTCAGAACACATGAGAGACTATAAGAAATTGAATATAAAAACCCCACAGCTTCCGTTGAACATGAAAGAGAATATTGACACATTTTTGATTTTAATCATCCAACTATTCTAGATGTTTAATTATATTTATCCAAAAGACTTTTGAGCGAAATGATACATATTCTAAAATGCGATAGTGACAACACTAGAAGAGATGTCGATGGTCTTAATACTGCATATTACAATTTGATAAGTTAAATACCGGAATAATCTACCCCTTTTTCATTCTTTTCCTTTCTGTCATTGATTAAAAAAAAGACACCACCTAATCAGAATCACAGATAGAGCAATTCGTTTGTCTCAGGTCGTTTTGTGTTGGTGTTGTCTCAATTTTGGTTGTTTGCAATGTTTTTTATTTTTTTAAATATGTATCTGATATGTCTGATGGCTTTCAAAATAGTAATATTGTCAACAAGAAAAAATCATTTTTCGGTGAGTAATTTAACTATAAGAAATTGAATATAAAAAACCCCACAGCTTCCGTTGAACATGAAAGAGAATATTGACACATGATTTTGATCATCCAACTATTCTAGATGTTTAACTATATTTATCCAAAAGACTTTTGAGCGAAATGATACATATTCTAAAATGCGATAGTGACACTAGAAGAGATGTCGATGGTCTTAATACTGCATATTACAATTTGATAAGTTAAATACCGGAATAATCTACATATTTTTTTAAATATGTATCTGATATGTCTGATGGCTTTCAAAATAGTAATATTGTCAACAAGAAAAAATCATTTTTCGGTGAGTAATTTTATTAAGAACTCATTATTTCTTGTGAAATTAAAACTATAATAATCGTACCTATTATAAGTTTTGTGGAAGGTATGTTTATGAAAATTCATTGTTACAGAGCCCTGAAGAAGAATTCAATTACATTCGAAACGTCGACAAAAAAACCAATTGTTTTTTCAAGAAAACATTGATCCTGTTACCCAACCTACCAATAAAGCTTTGACATAAATCAACATAATGATAACTACTTTAGCAAAATATTTGGGCAAATGAAACCACTTGTTAATATAAAAATAAGCGAATAAATGAAAATTGTCAACAAAAATCAAACTGTTCAGTGTTGCAATAAGCAATTATTGTATGTGATGCATTTGGCTAATAGTTGATGTAAATCGGTAACGTGTTCAGTTAATAATACAATGAAAAATAATTTATGAACAACTTACGAGATAATATAAATATATGTTACATGGTCGATTTTTACAAAACCTGCCAAGCGGCTTGACTTTTCAAACCAGTTTGAACGTATGTTTTGCTCTATCTAATTGGTTATCTTTCTTAGTATTTCACTTTATAATCGGTTATCTTTCTTAGTATTTCACTTTATAGCCTTTGAATCTTTGGCGACTGAATTGATTTCAGTTCACTAGATTTTGTTACCTGAGATTGATGAAATAATAGCCACATAAACGACAGATTTCACAAACCGACAACAGAGTTGTTTTACTATCACAATTGCTTGGCAGAACAATTTATACAGGCTATACTCCTCGAAGCTTTTCAACAGTAAATGATAGATGGAGGAATGAACATTTATTCATCTCCAAAGATCATATATGATGTTGAAATATGTATTGATTTTTCAACAATATTATATGTAATAATATTATTATAGCTTCTTCATGAGTATGGAAAACGCTTGAGGAAGCTATCGTATAGCTCGTATAGCATACTCCGTTATGGAGTATTATTATCTTGATCTTCACGTATTTGTTTGAATTTCCATGGACATATCTCCTGCAGTATATTATTGATTCATCCAAAGAAATATTTTTTTCATGAAATAATGGAGGTAAAGTATGTACTGAAGTATTTCATTAGGTTCTTATTTGATCAAATTGAATCTCACACATGATCTCAACAACCAGAATCTCCCTGTTTCAGATCCACATAAGTCCATCCTACAGTTCGACGTGGCCAAATCCTACAGAAAGGCCTTCAACTTCAAGGAGTCCTCCACCTTCGCAAAAGCCAACAGAAACGTCTACATACTTGCCTTGGAGTACAACGTCATGGAGAACTTCATCTTCGCCAAGACCAACAGAAACGTCTCCATACTGGCCTTGGACTTCGACATCATGGAGGACTTCGACTTGGCCAAGACCGACACAAACATCTACAGATAGACCTTATACTTCAACTCCATGGAAAACTGCATCTTCGCCAAGACCAACAGAAACGTCTTCATATTGGCCTTGGACTTCGACTTGGCCAAGACCGACACAAACATCTACAGATAGACCTTATACTTCAACTCCATGGAAAACTTCATCTTCGCCAAGACCAACAGAAACGTCTACATACTTGCCTTGGAGTACAACGTCATGGAGAACTTCATCTTCGCCAAGGCCAACAGAAACGTCTCCTTACTGGCCTTGGACTTCGACATCAAGGAGGACTTCAACCTGGCCAAGACCGACAGAAACATCTACAGATAGACCGTATACTTCAACTCCATGGAGAACTTCATCTTCTTCAACGTCAAACGGAACGTCAACATACTGGCCTTGGAGTACAACACCTTGGAGAACTTCATCTTCGCCAAGACCGACAGTAACGTCCACATACTGGCCATGGAGTACAGCTTCATGGATAACTTCTTCATCTCCAAAGCCAACAGAAACGTCTACACACTGGCCTTGGAGTACAACGTCATGGAGAACTTCGTCGTCTTGGAGAACTTCAACTTCGCCAAGACCAACAGAAACGTCTACATACTGGCCTTGGAGTACAACGTCATGGAGAACTTCATCGTCTTCAAGGCCAACCGAAACGTCTCCATACTGGCCTTGGACCTCGACGTCCAGGAGGACTACTATTTGGCCCTGGTCAACTGAAATATCGTCAACCTCTACAACAACAATATCACCCTGGAATACGACTACTGCTTCGCCTCAGCCCACAGTAGTGCCATCTAACAAAACAGACAGTCCAAATCAAGGAAATGTGAACATCAACGTGGATATTGATATTTTTGTTATTCAGAACAACACGAATGTCAATGTGGTTGTTAACTGAAAATATATCATCAAATCCAAAATTTAGTAGGTGAAACTGATTGATTCAGTGCAGCTCTATTCATCGAACTGAATTCGATCCAAAAAACCGAATAAATACTTGTATCACATGAAGTGGTGTTCCTCTGCTTTAGTCGTTTGAGAAGGTTCTATGATATTTTGAGTTTGGTTCACGTTTTGATAACAAAAATAGATTCCAGGATTTTACTATGATATTTTTTGTTTGAATAATAATAGTGATTCCAATATCTGATTTCATTCTTCAATTCTTCCACTGAAGTATGACTGATTCTCACTAACGAACATATGATATATGAATTTTGTGGAATAATTGGATTAGAAATGGTCGGTTGCACTTAAAAAAATATATAAAAAATTAAAAGTACCACACTTTTACCAAACGCACACGCGCAAACACTGATACATTGAATAATCATCAACGCTGTGAAACTAAATGAAAACTGAATATATTTTAATTTACAATTACATATACAAGAAAGCGAACGTGAATATTTCAGATTTCTTGACTCTTGACCAGCCATGCTACAAATATTCTTTTGGGTCAAAAAAACCTCACCTGAGTTGACCAACTACAGAAACAAATGAATAATAAATAATTTCAGTTGATCTAAACTAAGAATATGTCAGTACCCAAGAATTTGGTAATTTCAGACAATACAAGCAAGTGATCATTCATATTTGTACGAAACCTGTTATAATACTACCTGTGCTTTATAAACTTGAAATAGCTCTTCCCCCAGAACTGAACCTTGCGGTACCTACTCCGAGTGACAGGGCTTTCCGCTGAGAGTTGATTGTTTATATTGGTGATGGGTACATATCCACTCTTTCAAAATTCCCCTAAAATCCATCTTGTATAACATTATTGACGTAAGTGGGGGTTGAAGCAGCCGAAAGCCCTGCGAGCACTTGCCAGGGTCTCTTTTTTCAACTACACTGTTATTATATGGGCTAAATTGTATCATTTGTGGATATTCTACTTGGAAATTCATTCTATATGGAATTTTTCAAATACAAACTGATTGAAAAAAAATGATTTGTATGCTATTCAATATTCATATGAAAGCAGTTGTTTTGAAAAAGTTTTGCTTCTAGTTTGTATCTGAAAAAAAACTTCTTCGCATGAATACACATCTTTGTGAAGAGTTCATTCTGACCTGAATTGATTTCCCCATTTCTTAAAAAAATTACACTTTTTTTGTATAAAGATGGAGAAGTAGGCTATGAAACGTTTTTCTTAAGAATTGTTCCCCCTGAGAATTATTTTTCAATTTGAACATAATTCCTATAGCTGGAACTGGATCAATTAACAGGTGAACGTTTATTGCGTTCACTGTCATCGTGACATGAGGAGATTGATGATTTTTTTTAATTTCTTTAGGAGTTTTACATTTTTTCGGATGAAAAAAATCACTCTCACTAATTGAATACAAATGAAACGTTGAAGATGATTCATTCATAAGGTCAATATTATGTATTGTTATGTTCAATTCTTCAACTAATCTCTAGAATGTTTTTATAAAAGAAGAATAATTGAATTCATTTGAAAAAACGTTGGAATCTCTTCACATATCACCGCTGGACGTAGTCAGAATAACTTCAGAAAAATCAAGGTGACTAGTTGGGAACAACTATATCAATTCCAATCCATAATAACATTCTGACTTACGATTTAGGAGAGACAAGTTAGTATCTCTCTTTGAGGAACATGCACGATCAATTTCCAAAAGTTTTCTGTCGAAATTTGACTTTTCATTATATCTTACAAATGAATTGAAACTTCCAGCTTATTATTTACGGTGAATTTCTCAAGAATCCTGTAGCGCTACTTTTGAAGTAAAACTTCTTTACACGCAAAGTGCAGTTTGTTTATTCTACATAAACGCCTTTCTCCGTTAAACAATGAAGTTAGAGGTATACTGAGTTGAACCTCAAAACGATAAGCAGCCACGATCCGTTGCGTATTTCTGATATGTACCGCTCTAGTGTAATCAAATGTACCACAACACTCGAACACTTCCCTTGAAAGTATCTATATAGAAGAGAGACAAATCTCCAACCTTTATTCGATGTTCCAGACTATCAGGATTGTAAGTGATGTTTGCGTCCCCAATCAAGTGGATGGCTCTTTTCTGGATGGAATACAGCAGCTTCAGGGTATACTTAGGGGCGGACCGCTATACATGAGGATAATACCCCATAGAAGGTCTGATCTGAGCTGTATAAAGCATCAAAAGTTGCTGAGGTGTGTAAAGTTTTCTGATTCGGAACAGGGTTCCAAGCAATGTAGGGTATTCTTCTCCGGTATAGTTGTCTAGGAATATGTTTTTCGAAGAGAGCATTTCGTTCGGAATTACTATCTCTATTCAAATATCGTTCATGATATGCCCTCGCTGCTTCTCAGGGAATCCTGTTGCGTGGTGAGTACGGCATATTAGTTTGGGCATGAGAATAATCCTAAAATCAGTTAAATATGTTTCGCAGATAAGAAAATGGGTAAACTGATTAGCAGTCCTCAATAACAGGAATCCACAAGTCTCTGCTGCTCATAGACGAGCAATCAACTCGCAAATTCAGTTATTTTTGAGTCGTTATTAACGAGACCCAAATGAGTTTCATACAATTTTTGGTCAATGTGAGCCAGAATTATTGCTATCAATTTCAATTCCTCATTGGAGATGATAGCATTTTATCAAAAAAATGACTCACTTGAATTTTTTCAACAACTTTGTTTTGATCAGCAAGGAATTCACTGTTACTCACCGATAGGGATAAGTTTGTTGACCAATGTTGGTCTGAGTTACAAATATTCAAACTAATGCAACATTTTGAAGAAATTTTGAGCTCCCAAATTCTCTGGGAACCGTGAAATTTCAACAATCCTGATACTCTTTTCTGAACTACTTACTATTCCAGAACATCCATGATTACTCTGGATTATTCGAGAACATTTGAGAACATCCTGGAATATCCTAGATTATTAGAAATGACATGAGTTATGTGATATGGTTCCCATCCAAGAAATTTTTGAAGGTTGTGCTTCAAAGATATAGAGTTTCCTCCTATAAGAATTTCTGGAACCGGCAGTAATATTCAAAAGTATTCTAGAGTATTCGAGAACATTCTAGAACGTAGCGAGATATTCTGGAATGTTCAAGTATAATCTGGAACGTTCGGAAACATTCCGTGATATACCAAGTCATTGTGGAAAATTCCATAACAGTTTCGAATGTTGTGTTCGTGAACACTGAGGACCTTTCGAAGCTCTTTTTCATAGGTGGAGCTTCCCAAAAGTAAGGGTATATGAAGCAATATCCGTCGATATACAAAGTGTCTCTCAGTTCATCAAGATAGTTGGGCAACAAAAACAAAAAGCTACTGAGATGAAACCCTAAAAGAAAAATTCACATATGAATTCGTTATATCAGAAGAGGACTACTTGAAAGAAAAGAATAAAATCTTGAATAATATTGTGAACGATAAAAACACCATTATTGACGATAAAGAAAATATTAATATCCTGTTGAGAAAAAAAAATAAAACCTCTTGAGAAATTGTTAGAAGCTAGAAATAAATTGTTAAACCATGAACTACAAAACACAGATGCTATGAAAAAGTATAGTAAACCAAAGAACATTCATAAGGAGAGACAACAGACAAAAACTCTATCCCTAACAAAAAAGATCCACTAGATAACCCAAAAATAATGGAACCAAATGATGAAGGGGAATTTTCCAATGTACAGGGTGATACAATACTTGGCAAACCAACTATCCCTAAAGTTGATGGAGACCCAGACTATTCTCAAGTGTAATGAAATAATAAACCTGGGAAGTGAGAATCAAGATCGTGCGTCTACTGTAATAGAACAAGAAGAAATAAAAAGAAGAAGAAAGAAAAATGAAGAGTGGCTTATCAAGAAAAAAGCGATACAACAGGATAGTCAGAAGAAACACAACAGAAGTTCAAGAGTGCAACGCGGAGATTATGTTTATGATTATACACATATATAAAGTGTCACAAGACGGAACTGAAACAGATATAACAGAGTATCTGTAAAGAAAAACTAATGCTGAAGAATAATTCATGTTTAAGGATTTAAATGAAAATAAAATACTGAAAACCTTTTTTGTTTTTAGGGATTTCAAATACAAAGACCTCTTTTATAATCCCACTTTCTGGCCAAGTGGGGTTAACTATAAAAGATTTTACTTTAACCGGCATTATGAGAAATGTGTTAGCAGATGAATATGAAAAAAGACCAACTCCTTCTTTAGACATTTATAAAACAAATTAGAAAAATTCGAAACAAAAAAGTGAAAGCAGATATAACAAAAAAACTCAATATAATGCATTTTAGTGTTCAGGGTATTTTTGACAAATCTGGGGATCTGAAAATTATCATTTGTAGCTAATGATATATGGAAAGGCCGTTTATTTATTTCCAGTGCATAATCACTCTATATAAATAACAAGATAAACCTCATCAAAACAGGATATGCTGAGTCTGCGGTTTCAATTTACTCTACGTCGAGTAATATTTTCTTCGCAGCAATCGTCATAGAGACTTTAGCAGTGACAAATATGGGAAACGAAACAATATTATCAGTATTCGTGATCTGTTTATACACTTTTTCTCTGGTGAGTGAAACAAAATATTCTTGATTATTTTTTCGGAAATATCGTGTGGAGTAAAAACTTTTCATACCTGTAACAGCGAACAACTTTTACATTTTCAACTTACTTTCATAATATCATAATCTTTATCATTTATTTTTTGGAAATTCCAACTTTTATCCTGAGCTTTCGATTTTAGAATTTTCAAGATTGAATTCAGAATTTCCAAGAAACAAAAAATTAAAATATGTGGCCCATCTGCGCTTCCGTCTTTTAGTGAAACCATCAATTCATTTCAGTCAAATCTTCATGTCAGCTTCACCACACATCATTTTACTGAATTCAATCATTGAATGATAAAATTTTCCACTGTATAATCTGCATTGCTCTATTTTTGTCCGTATAATCAAAAAGGACCGAAATACAGTGTAAGTTTGTGAATTGAAACAAATTTATTGAATTGAAGATTCTTTGATTTTAAATACGGAATCAAACACTGACAATCAAAGAGTTCGTTCGAGGATTGAATTCAAATTGATAGATCTTCAGGTATATTACTGGAGTTTTTTCCCAACACCAAATTGTTATTTTCAACACCTCAACACGTGTTTCGATCACTAAGTGATCATCTTCAAAGAGGAAGATTAAAACAGTTTTAATCTTCCTCTTTGAAGATGATCACTTGGTGATCGGAACACGTGTCGAGGTGTTAAAAATAACGATTTGGTGTTGGGAAAAAACTCCAGTAATATTCATTATTACACCAAAGGTTCCAAACAGCGCATCATGAGTAGATCTTCAGGTAATCAACCCTATCAGTGACGAGAAAATTTTTGTGGTGATGGTTTCTTCTTTGTTCTGGAGTCTTCATCTTGATAACTCAAAAGTGTTTTAGAGCAAAAAAAGTGAAACATTATTGGAAACTCTCATAGGAGAATAATCTACAAGATGGTTTGTTCTTTGTTCTAGAGACTTCATCTTGATAACTTTGAAGTGTTCTCGAACAGAAAGAAGTTCAGCTGAGTTTACTCGGAATTGATAATACCGAAGCTTTTTTGTGAAAATATAGGGTTATATGAGTGAATACCTAACATTTAGATAGTTATAGGTACAATAAATAACAATCTTAAACTGTTTTTCTGAGAAGACTTAATGGAAAAATTCATTCCCTCTGAATGTTTTGGGTACTGAAATATTCAAATATTCATAAAAAGTATGTAATTGAATTAAACATGAAAAAATTTCAATGTGGCTTTGATATACTAGTGAACTCGAAAATCTCAGCTAGTTATTGCAATATATTACTGAAAATCTAAAATTATAAATGTCAATAATGAATGTTCCAATATAAAATTCCACCATCATCAGAAAATCAATTGATTTTTTTATATTCCTGTTAGTGTGGCGAGAGAGATAGCGTAATACTTAACCAGTGGGAAGAGAAGCGCACAGTCGCTTGCGCATGGCGACACATCGCCACGGCATGCGTCGTCACGCCAACAATCTGTTTTACGTGGGGCTATAGATGTTTCACATAAAAAATGTGAAATGTGAAAAAAATGTGAGTTTATCATTTGACAGTTTACAAAACCACGATACGTGTTTCACTATACAATAGCATTTTCGGGCGTTACTATACTCACAAAGTTTTTTTTTTCATCTATAATGTATTTTCATCAAGTATCGGACAGTTCTACCATTCAATGTTTTCCTCATTTTTTCGAAGAACGCTTGTATGCCTTTTATAAAAAAGGAGCTCTTCTAGGCCTGAAGTTTTTCAGTGACATTGATATCAACTATACTCAGTTGAAAAAACATCCTCTTCTATATGATTTTCTGTGTTCAAAATCAGTTTTTGTTCCAAGACTGTCTTCTTGAAGAAACTATAATCAAGATTTTTTTGACATATTCCCACTGGGTTCATCATTTGGAGACGTATTGATATGACTCGAATGCATATCACTCAGGAATGTTCCTCAAGTTTTCGCTGAAGGAGTTTAAAGTTGGAAATGGAACGCTGAAGCTGGAATTATATTATTGTGTCGTGGTGTGTCGTGACGCGCCACAAGTATACCGTATTCATACATTTAGTCAGTAATGTGAATAAAAACTAGTACAAGCAAATACTAGGGATTTCTTAAGTAAATGCTAGTAAGTGAATAAACACACTAACACTTGCTTGGGGTAATAGGTTCGAGAGTTTTCCCGGACGAGTAGTAAATGCTTAAAAAATGGTGTGAATAAAACTTTTGAAGTAGATTGTTCTGTAGCACATGCTTCGATATTTTCAAGCCTGGTTTGGAGCATGCTAGACTTTTTCCTAGCATTTACTACCTGTCTGCTCAGTCCACAGTTTGTTGTTGATCATGGCTTAGTTTATGCCTATTCGCCAACGTAAAATTTATTCTGTTCGCTCTGGAATAAACGAACGTAATTGTAAAGAACTGTCAAGGTTTAACAGTGAGAGTGTTTATTTCCTTGCGGCACAGTTTCTTGAAGGAAGTAATACTCGTGGCGATGGTATTTCCAGAAGACAGCAAATGGAAATATTTCTGAGGTTTGTGGGTGTGGGTTGTGTAGCTCAAGATGTGGGTGTACATCGTATCAATGCTAACAAGACTATAAGATACGTGATGAGTAGAGTAGTTGAACAATCACCTAATTGGATACGGTTTCCAACTACAGCTGAAGATATTACCGAAGCTAAAGTTTTGTGGCAGATACATTTTCGTTTGCCGTCTGTAATTGGTGCCCTTGATTGTACTAAAATTGAGATACAAAAGCCTGGGCTGCACGGTGATGAGTATATTTGTAGAAAAGGATATCCTAGTATAAATGTTCAGGCAACATGCAATGCATTGGAACAGTTTACAAGTATTAGTGCGGAGTGTCCCGGCAGTGTTCACGACGACAGAGTGTGGAGGAATAGTCATGTCAGAGACATCGTGTCAGCAGTTTGTCTTTTAGGAGATTCAGGATACGGTTTATCGCCGTGATTGATTACACCGTTCAAGCCCCCACGAACGCAACAAAAACGAGAGTTCAATCCTATCCATGCTAGAGAAAGGGTTATAATAGAAAGGTGTTTTGGCCAGTTGAAAAGGAGATTCCTAATCCTGGGAAACTGTGTTAAAGTTGCATTAAACAACATTCCACAAGTGGTAGTCAGTTGCGCTGTGCTACACAACATTGCCAAGCAGCTAAAGGATGACTTTGCGTATGGGGATCTTGGGGTGGTTCGTTATGAAAATGCCGACACAACATTAAGAGGCAAAGACAAGCGTGGCAATCTGATGGCGTATTTGAATATTCATTGAATAAATTGTTTTTGTGAAATTGAACTTAGTAACATTCTCATGTTTTTCTCACGCAATCACCTACTTGCACACAATTTTGCATATTTTTTTTTGGGATATGGTTTTTGTTTATTTACTAAAATGAATCATCTTATTTTATACACTAGTTTTTATTCACACCATTACTGAATTATTTCAAATTACAAATTTGATTACAATGGTAAGAGTTATAATCCTAAGAATCCTACATTATTACAATCCAAAGGAAAATACAACTTATGTAGCTTACAGTTAATTACTATGTGAATAGTAATTATCAACAGTTACATCAGTTTTAGTAGACTTTTCAACGGTTTGCTTCTTCACGGTTTCCAACAATATAGTTTCCTTCTCCAGTTTGATCTTATTCAGTTTGTATTGTTGCAACAAAACAATCCTTTTGCAAGTGCGGTGTGGACAGGTCTTTAGTTTCATCTACTTCATGATTCGACACAATTTTTTCACTTCTTCTGATCTTATTTTTGTGGTGGTCGGCATCAGATTTAGTTCTCATAGGCTTCTTTGTTTCTTGGCTCTTCGATTCTTCATTTTCATTTGGTTTCCCTTCAGTTTCTGTATTCGGCAAACTTTCTTGGATGTCATCATTGGTTGGTTGCTGAACTGGGGGCCTGGCACTTGTGCCAATTGAAATTGAAATTTCATGGAATACTGGGTTAACATCTTCTATCAACTCCAAGAATGTTTTTTCCCACGGTTGTAGTTTTATTTTCCTGTTTCCCGTCATTTTTACGTCAGTCTTCTTCTTGACGGTAGACTTAACATTGTTCAATGCTTTTATTAGTTGGCCTACAGTAACTTGTTTCCCAAAGGCACCACAGTAGTCAGAACGTGAAGTTTTCCAAGCTTCTTTCTTAGCATTCATCACAGCAGGGGTCTTTGATTTGCTGAGTAAGATAATGTGATACGAAAGGACACGTACAAACAGAGTGCAATCAATTTTTTCTATTTCATTGAAATCATTGTCAGATTCTTCTGATGATGAATACATCTTCTAGCACATGGTTGAACACAGTGAGAGAGGGGCTGCCGATGTGTAGTTGACTGAAAAGTAGTGGAGGGGAGAACGTGTCATGACATGAACGTTAAAACCTAGCATTTACTTGGTCTAGCATGTACTACCACACGAGTAAGTGCTTGGGTTTTTCCGGATTCTACTAGACTTGCCCTAGTATATTCTGCAAATCTGTATTCACACTGATTTGACCAAATACTTACTAGACCTAACATATGCTAGTTAGAAAGTGCTAGTTTTTATTCACATGTCTCAGTATGTTTAGAAATATATTACCAAAGTGCAGTGTGTCGGGACGCGATCGGTCGATTTCCGATCGGCGTCAGAACGATGGTGGGGTTATGACGCGTCAGAAGACTCCACACTAGTAGGTTTCTAATCTGACGCGTTAACTAGCTAGAGAATAGTCGTTTGCATTTATTTGTGCACAAAATGTCGAACAATCTTATTGAACTTGTTAGAAAATACGGGTTTGCATTTTTCTAATATCATTTTCTACCATACTCTACTCAAATTGATTTTTTGACATCCTGAAATATTGATGGAATTTTTCTTCATCACTAGTAAATGATATTCGCTTCGACTACTTCTAAGATCATTTACTGGATGAACCCAATATTTTCTTTTTTCTTTTAAAGTAAACTTCACGTTAGCTGACACGCAAGGTTTTTTTCGAATATCACTCTCCGAATCTGAGGAAAGCATTGTAGATGCTCGCATGTGTTTACTTCAAAGGCCACCACTGTATCGACTCGAAATAATGTCAGAACGCACCCCGACACGACAGACTAATCTGTACACTCACCGTCACGTTAGAGAGCATCACAATACACCACAACATAATAATGTAATTCCGGCTTAACGAATTGCTTGATTATAGTGCATCAGATAGTGCTGCCAAAGAGAAGTTTACTTAAGTAAGAGAAGTTCCCAAGTTTCCATTCACGTAGTTAAAAAAATTATGGGAAAATACATATATACATAAAAATATTTTGATGAAACTCTTCAACTGAATTTTCATGATATTTTAGAACGGTTGAAAAAATCAGCTTTGGAATAATGTTTTGAACAGAACTTTGAACCAATCTGTATGTATTTATATGTTTTTGAAGTACTTTTCTGACTGAAAATCCTAACTTTGATACGTCACCCTTCTACAACATTCTTTGTATAATAGTGAATATTTTGAAAAACCCAGTTCAGTGATATATCATTTTCAATCAAAATATATTTCAAAAGCTCCACCTCCAACGTTTCATGAACGCTTGATATCACACACATTTTCTCATAAATGTGATTGTTTTCAAATAATACAGAATGATGTTTTTTAATTTTCATTTGCTACATTGTTCTCTGATTTTCTCATAACTATCAATTTATTTGGATTATGAAAATTTTGCCGATGCGAAATTACTGAGATCAATAATCACTATATTTCACAAATTGAAGTTCCCTACCATGTCTGTCGCGATGAATTGAAAAACTACAAAACGGAATTTCATATGGTTTTCACCAATGAGCGGAGTGATCAAGGAGGAAGGTTTTAACGTATGACTTCAAAATATTTTGTGAAAATTGGTTGTAATATGGCAATGTTATCAATGATTAGTCGTGCTGTGGTGATAAAACTAATCAATTCACTGCATATTGTTCTTCAAACAGTCGACAGTCAACAGATATTGTTTCATATATCCCCACCAATGGATAACTCAACTATACATAGAAGGACGTCGAATAGCCATAATACTCCTGAACATTTTACAGCATTCGAGACTGATCTGGAACATTCCACAATGACACAATGTTCCAGAACATTTTTCGAAATTTCTGGAGTGTGACACTTCCAGCCCTCATATCATAATGGATTACTACACCATTTGGTTCTCTTGATCATTCAAACATGATCTTAGGGGTAGCTATTCTCGAACATTCTATAATGTTATGGAATGTTGTGAAATGCTCTCTATCACACTTGAATGTTCTGAAGTCTCCTAGAGATTTCTTGAAGGCGAAGTTTGCAACCCTTATATCTTCAAAAATACGCTTTCCAGGTAGAAACTGAAACTATTTTCATGGATGGATATATATAGCGTCCTTGGTGGTTAAACAATGATCGGAGATGTTACGTAATGTTCATAACATTTCAGATTATTTTTGACGATTCCGAACATTCCACCTAGTTCTAGAACTTTCCAAGATGTTCTGGGATGTTATGGTATGTGGGACACTCAAACATTTTTCAATATTCTGCGACTGATCTGAAACTTGTTTGAGGGTAAAACTCACAGCTCTTATTTCTTATCTTCGTCATTCCACAATTTTCCTGAACGTTCCATATCAATTCAGAGCATTTCACAATATCTCTGAATATTTTGGAATGTTGTGAATTACTCCCAAATATTGTGGAATAAAACTTTCCAGAGATCGAAACTTCCAGCACGCACATCTTCAAAACATTTTTCGTGGACAAGCTGATACAAAGATCCCACGTGTACATAATTAATACAAACCTTAGCAATTATTTTTATTAAAAAACAATTGAGTTTGTGTTAGAGGAATCCTTGTGATTTCTTGATATTTTGTTGGAGAAATGTTAACCTGAAACCCAATCGTTTTCATTTTCAGGCACATTCCAGGAATGGCTTTCAGATATACAATGATTGGATTGACGTCGTAACTCTAACGAATACTACTACTACTCCAACTCCATCTACATCTACATCAACGACTACCTCTTCTACACCATGGACCCCCACAGTCTCCCCAGCACCTACCACAACTTCGAAACCACCACAACCAATCAACATTTTTATGTTTTTGATACAAAATAATACCAATGTGAATTTCAGGTTCGGCTGAATGGTATATGTTTGTTGAACTCATACTTATAATTCAAATATATCAGGTGACTTCCACTAGTTAAAATTATGAGGAAGTTGTACTTTTTTAATTCAAATACTCGCATCAGCCAACTGGCTATTAGCTATATAGTAAAGATTATTGCATATAACAGTTGTTAGTTATTGAATTTTATGTAAGATATTATCCTCGAAAAAAAGCAAAATGTTGTCCCAGTACTTAACACAAAGGTCGCTAGGAATTCCAATAAACATTCTCTGTCTCGAAAACTAGATGTACTCTTGCTTTTTTTTCAATAAGAAAATACAGTATTGCCTAGGTTGAAATTACCAGCTTTCCAGTTTGCAAAGACGGGGGCACGATTTGACTTTTGATTTATACAATGTGTCAGTTTTAAAACTCACAATGGGCTCTATGTCACGAAAGAAAGCTGATATCTAAAAATGCTTGAAACCGTTTCTAGAACAGTGAAAGGGAACAAAAGTGACATGAAAGAAAACTCACCACTATCAACCCCCTAGGCCCCACCCACCAAAACACAAAAAGTTTAAATTGCAAACCCCTACTTGTGATACATCATTGAAAATACTATACAAAATGCTATTCAATAGTATAAATAATAATCGTACAGGGTAATGCAATAATTGTGACACTTTGGCTTAAATGGAATATTCAATGAGGTTTTTGTTGAACTGCAAATTCATTAATAATGTCGTATTAAGTAAATGTTCAAAGTGGGTTCCGTTGTGTTGTTAACAATAATACAGCCTATTTTCAAATGCGGCACGAACTTTGTCCAAATGTTGTTCTAGTAATGGCGCGACATGCTTGCGTAATTCTTTCTCGCAATTCCCCAAGTGACGCAGGTTGAGTTTTATAAACAACTGACTTGAGGTGACCTCACAGAAAAAAGTCAAGTGGCGCCAAATCTAGTAACCTCGGTGGCCACTGAATGGGACCTCTCTTTCCAATCCATTTGTTCGGATAATTAGTAACCAACCAGTGCCTAACTGAATCTGCATAGCGAGGAGGTGCTTCATCTTATTGGAAGTACAGCAAATCTTCGTCTACAGATAGCTTGCCTTGGTCGTCCCTTCGGTTCTATAATTCATGCACAATTGAAGATTCGATGGTGGCTTCCAGCATATCGAGATAAATATCCCCACTTAAATTGCCTGGTATGAACAAGGGACCAATTATAAAACGCCTAATATTCCTGCCCAAACATTCAGTTTTTCAGGATATTGATTGTTACCATCTCTGAATCGATGCGGGTTCGCATCACTCCAGTACCGACAGTTTTGTTTATTTACATTGCCATTCAGCATAAAAGAACATTCATCACTGAAACAAATATTTTCCAACATTCTCAGTTCAACGCGAATCCTTTCAGTCATGAGTTCACAAAACTCAATTCGTCGGTCGAATCATCATCACCTAGTTCTTGAAGAATTTGTGTTTTGCACGGGTGAAACTTATGTAATTTCAACACATTTCTAACCGACTCACGTCAAAGTCCTGTCACTGCAGATACTTGACGTGTTGATGCAGTAGGCTCCATTGCAAAATTTTCAAGTACCTCAATTTGGATTGCTTCATTCAGTAATCTTGGGGCATTCCTTTTTTTATTTTGCACTGATCCCGTTTCTCTAAACTTTTCAACTGAATCGCGGACGTACACGTGACTTACATTATTGTCCGGATGCCTTTCATGAAATATTTGAGCTGTTTTTAAATAACACTGGTTCTGGGAGGCAAATATGAAAATTATCTCCACGCGCACTGGTATACTGTAAACCATCGTGACAACTACAGCTGAATGACAGTACAGATCGTACAAATGATGAAAACTAATGACATTTGAAAGTCTCAAACTAACAAAAAATCATTGACTCTGACAGTACCCAAAAAACAGATCTTTCCAACTTGTTTTGCAAAAACGGAAAGTCAAGATTTTATTTAACAAAAAAAGTATCGATGGATACTTATCATTTGAAATAATAGTCCGGGAGGAAGAATTACAAATAAAAAAGTATAGTAAGCCGGCTGATATTAAAGTTCGTGCAGACTTTGACAATAAGCTGTATTATTGTTTACAAAACAACGGAACCCACTTCGAACATTTACTTAATTGACATTTTTAATAAATTTGTAGTTCAAAAAAAACCTCATTGAATATTCCATTTAAGCCAAAGTTTCTCAATTTTTGCTTTACCCTATACAATTGGATAGCATTTTTTATAGTATTTTCAATGAAGTATCACAAGTAGGGCTTTGCAATTTGAACTTTTTGAGTTTTGGTGGGTGGGGACTTGGGGGTTGATGGAGGTGAGTTCACTTTCATGTCACTTCAGTTCCCCCTTACTATACTAGAAATGGTTTCAAGCATTTTTCGATACCAGCTTTCGTTCATGAGATATAGCCCATTGTAAGTTTTTAAATTGACACACTATATGGAAATTCAATTTAAAGTTTCGAAAACGGATCTCAGAATCAATTGGTCTCATTTGGTGAATTGAAAAAATATTGTACTCCGTCTTCAATGCCCTTCACTGTAGTTCAACTCATTGCATTTACACAGGAGGCACTCCAATTAAACATGAATAAGGTTTACCTATTTGTTTTAATTGGATAAAAAATATCAGAGGGTCAAATTCATCACTCTGTTCAGTAACAAAATACAGAGGCTTAGCCCAGGGTTTAATGCTTCAAACCTCACAGATCCTGATCGTAATCCTCTCTGAGAACCATCAAGAAACGATCAATGTCTTCTTTTCACTTCTCTTGTATGCGTTCTAGGATTCCGGCAAACTTTATCAGCACTTTTATAGGATCTAGGTGCTCCGATATTCTAACCAGCTGTTCAAGGACTGTCTCCACTTTTGGGATCCGACTTTGGTTTCTATTTCTTTCTACGTCAACTACAAGCTTGATTTTCATTCGACCCAAATGACAACGTCGACATTGCCCGGAAAATACATTTTTTTTGGTTACTCAACGTTGAATTTTTTTATTTTGACGTTTCCCGAATGAGAACCAACAGACACTATGATCTCATCTTTCTTCTGTTTTTAATCAGCATTATTGTATCTGAGACATTCATTCACGAAGCGTTAACTTTCAGAAAAATTGTTATTCAGGAAATATCGAAAATGAGAAATGAAGCACTCTATTTCTTTACACCACATGAATTTGTAACTAACCTAACCGCATTTTCAGACTGCTACAATAAATTGAAATTATTTACAATGTCAACCCTTATATTTCTATACACCACTGTAGGTAATAGCAGATAGTCCCTAATAACTTTGTTACCTGAATTTTGTTAACCTGTGGTAATGTAGGTACGCTAATCTGAAAACAGTCGGATAGAACAACAAATTGCTCAAAAATATCACTAATTTCTTCCCACGTCACAACATTAAAAATTAAAAATTTTTCAGTAGAAAAATTAAGCAACCAAACCACATAATTAAATTTTGATTTCATCCGATGCAAAGAGTATGTTTTCCAACATACCGTACAGCGAATGTAAGTCTCTCATTTTAAATATATTAGATCAAGCCGAAGTAGACCTCATCACTTCATTTGAAATTTCGACGTATTCGATGTATGCCTGAAATAGAATTACTGTTTCAGGCAGTTTGTTGTTTGTTATAGAACTCTTTGCAGTTCTTTAATAAATTTTATAAACAGGATTCACGTTTACCAATGGGATCACCCCTTAGTCCACGTTCAGCAGATATATTAATGAACAGCTTGGAGACCACTAAAGTAAATTCCGACCTAGGTGAAAAACATATTCATTTTTGGTACAGATATGTAGACGATATTCTCGCCTGTTTCAGAGGTACTACACAACCAATTTATGACATTTATGAATTATCTTAATAGAAACATACAGTTAACACTCGAAACAGAGATACAGAAACAGATTAATTTCTCAGACCGGACTTTCACACATAATCATAATAAATTTGAGTTCAATGTATTCAGATAACCCAGCTATACAGACTAAAATCCTAAGTGAGTCTTTCCGTCTAAGGTATTTACAGAAGACTTGATCTTCTTGGCTAAGCCAAGCTCTGACATCGTTCGTCGAATGGTTCAGCCTTGCAGCACTGATCAACTGCGAATTATTATTCGATATAGAATCCCCATAAGACCAATAGTTTGCTGATATCATGAAATAGGTTTCGAGGATACACAATAATTCCATCTATGTTAATAATCGAGGTCGTTTATAATGGAAAACATGCCGGGCTGGAATCCAAAGTTTTCACTCCTGTAGTTATAGACACATTATCGGAGATAAAGGAGTGCAGCAATCGCTTTGAACCAGGCTATTTGCCTTTATGCGGCTGTTGGGAAAGTTATATATCAGGCGTATCGCGAAACACAGATCTTATCCATCACGTACTCTCTCCCGATAGATAACCGAGTTTTCGAATGCAACGGATTCTGGGTATTGGCAAGAACTTACTCTGATTGTAGCTTCCCCTGTGTTTCCTAATCTCATCAGAATATTACTGATTGAATACACCGGTAATTAATATCACAAGAACTCTTTGACTCTAGGTTAGTTCAAGTAGGAATTGAGCGAAGGAACTGCAATCGGATGTTTATGAATATATTACATATTCAGAATTGAATGGAAAATGAACATCTGATATTACTCGAACGTGAAATGAGTCATTCTTATTTTCAGCTAAAAGATGATTGCAGTTCATAATATGCCTCCATCCTTTGAAATATTCATGGAACTTCTCATAACCTTGGCTGCAATGTTACTAGTTTCATTTGAGTTTGAGTGTGTTACATGAAATGAAAAATAGAACCGTTATTTGTGCGATTATAGCAGTTAGGAGGATCGTTACTTTCACACGTGTCATATTGACCATTATTACCAGATGAAAATGTTTATATTAGTCGATAGAAAATGAGTTTGGAGCAGCAGTTGAAAAAGCATTCATCAATAAAACTTTTTCTGATTCAGGATCATTAGTTCTTGTTTTCAGAGATCCTTCATTAGACCCAAGGTATACTATTGAATCTAGATTAACTTCTTTATCAGGAAGGGCTCAACGTATTCAAATTCCTGAACAACTTGATACTGATAAGGTTTCTTATGCAGCATGTATATTGTATAGAGTTATATGCAAGGTAAGCAATAAACGTGATTCCAGATGTTCAAAATTACTGGCTGGAAAACCGGTTTCAGTTTATGATTGGGGATCGCAGTATGATGGTTCATCTAGTTCAAATTCATTCT